GTAATTTTAATACACAGACATGACAGAATTGAATAGACGCCCACAGAAACCGTTTATTTTATTAAACAAGTAATTTATACAAATGAAGTAATTATAAATGGTCATAAATTTAATAACTAATACTTGGTTGACATCCCTTTTGCTTTTTTTAATGCAAGGACCCTTCTAGGCATGCTAGCGATGAGTTCATGAACATCATCTTGAGGGATTTCTTGCCATGTTTGACGCAATAATCCTAAAAGTTCGGGCTTAGAAGATGGCTTTCTGTTCTTTTTGCGGAGTTTTCGATCTAATATGCCCCAAAGGTGTTCAATAGGGTTAATATCCGGGGACTGACTTGGCCATGGAAGTTTATTGATCCCATTTTGTCTCAACCAATGTTGCGTTGCTTGAGCAGTGTGACATGGAGCTCCATCTTCCATAAATAGGGAGTCAACTTTGCTCATTCTACTACTTGAGAATATTGGAAGGAGCCCTTTCTTTAATATAGAAACATTTTTGGTTGAATTAATGTTTCCTTCACACTCCACAAGCTCTGAGCGACCATCACTTCAAATTGCACCCCATACCATTACTGAAAGGCCCCTATGTTTCACCGTTGGCTGCAGTCTTTTTAAATCAAACTCTTGACTACAGAGTCTCTTCCACTGTTGGAAAATAATGCGAATCTTGACTCATCAGAGAAAATGACAGTGGTCCAAAAGATCACAGGTCTCCCCACCATCTCATGAGCCCTATCCTTTCTGCGTTTGATATTGGCTGGATGGAGAAGTGGTTTCCTTCTCGCAGCTCTGCCATAGTAGCCCAGCTTGTGAAGATACCTGACAGCTGTTCTGGGACTGACATGAACTTGTGTTGCTATGTCAGAGGCCTTGCAACGTGGATCCTGTTCAACATTTCTTTCGACAAGACGCATGGTTCTTTCAGAGGGCCCAGGGCGGCCTGGATGAGGTTTTGTGCACTTCTTGCCCTCTCTGGGGAATTGTACGATCACTCTATTAACAGCAGAAAGGAGTATTGAAAGATTTTCAGATATTTTTCTTTGACTAAGACCACCTTCATGTTGGCCCACGATTCGTCCTCGCTGAAATTCGGATAGGTCTGATGCTCTTTTGGTTCATGGCATGTTCCAGTATTGTTATCTGCAATTTTAATCAAATAATCTAATTTAATTTATCTTGGTTATTAAAAAAAATCAGAAATAAAATTTATCTTGGTGTCTATTCAATTCTGTCATGTCTGTGTATATACAAATTGATGGCCATATATATATATATTTGAATAAAAAACAGACCACGTTAAGATTCCATGTAATAAGTTATTTCACCATAACCCCTTTAACAGGGTTCTGGATCATCAGACTTTACTTCGTAGATTGTTTTAGACATTTACGGATTACCTAAGTTTGCATAAACTATATATATATATATATATATATATATATATATATATATATATATATATATATATATTCCTCTTCTGCGTATGCGAGACTTGTCTGCAGGCATTCGAGAACAAATGCTTGAGAAAGCTCCACCGCATTTCCTACTGGGAGCACAAAGCTAATAACTATGTACGGGTCAGTCAAGCATCTTTTTGTGCCACTATTAAGCATCGGAAGACGTCATGGTTTGGCCACGTCAAATGACATAACAGCTCTTTCAAGACCATCACTTCACTGCTGAAAGTGGACGCGAGCTTGGACGGCAAGGCAAGAGCTTGTCAGACCATGTCTAAGAGTGGAGGGACATAACAATGCCGGATGTACTGAGAGCCACCGCTAACAGATTATACTGGAGGAGCTTGTCTATTTTTTCTGCCCTTAGGTGTCCCCGACAATTGGATCAGTCAAGGGACTAATTATAATTAAGATATTCTAATGCATATAAGTAGAATAGCAACGAAGGTGACACATTGAGGAAAGGGGACTTGGAGAATATGATATTCACACGGCATACTGAAGACAAAAGGCAGAACATGAATAGGGAGGCATAGTTAAGAACCATTTTTTTTTAAAAGTCATTTCACCCCCAAGCAATAAAGCGACTAAGAAGCAAGGGGTTACTAAGTGTCAGAGAATATGAAAAAAATATGAAAAAAAAATCACCATTAAGGAGAAAGAACAAGATAACGATAGACATTGCGCTTAAATTATTGAAGATCAAAATTGACGGAGAAGCCAGAAAAATGTTCCACAAGCGAGGAGTGCGATAGTCATATCTAACCATTTCAACTATAAAATGATGAGACCGAGCTGCCGATCTAGTACTGCGCTTAAATTCATGAAGTCCAGGTACTAAAGTGTAGAGCTCATCAGAACAATTATTAGGTTGGTTCAAAAATAATGACGTAAGAATGTCGTTTTTTGACGTTAAAAAATACGTCAAAAAACTTTTTCTTTGGATTTTATTAAGAATCTCTAATTACAAAGCAGAAGTACCAGGTCAGGTGTGGCAGCAATATTCAATTCATGGACGAATGGCACACTTACAAATGCAAAAAATAGATTCTGGCCAGGAAAAAATCGTCTATCTCGATACAGAAAGTATTACGGATAAAACTTACGGATACATCTAGCCATTTCAACTGTAAAATGGTGAAACCGTGCAGCCAATCTATTACTGCACTTAAATTCATAAAGTCTAGGTACCCTAGAGGAAAGTTCATCCGAACAAATGCCATGAAAAGATTTATATGAGATGCACAGGGAAGCTACGTTATAGGAATTCGTAGATCGCTGATCATCCATATCCTGAATCGTCCTGGGTATGATGATAAACGACATCCGCGTCCCGGGTATGACGATAAACTACATCCACGTCCTGGTTAAGACGATAAATTACGTCCAACAGCAAGGCCTCTGATCAGGAGGTTTTGAGGAGCGTGGAACAACCGCTTAATTGCTGGTGTTCCCAGATCTACCCTGACCCGGGGTGGTAGCATCTGTTAGGGTCCCCGCTATGGGCAAATAGTTAACCCCCCCTCCCAAACTGGAGTCAAAACAGGATGAAAGTGTAAAAATAGGTTTTAACACCAAAAATACTTTGTAAAATGTTATTACCAGCAATAAGTTTTTGAATAAAAAAAATTATTACCAGCAATACATTTTTGAAAAAAGATATTACCAGCTATACATTTTTTTAAAAAAAATTACAAGCGATACATTTTTGAAGAAAAAATATTACCAGAAATAGATTTTTGAAAGGAAAAAAAAATTACCAAAAAGAAAAATCTTGTTGGCATTAAATAACCCGTTGAGATTGATATGCCGTAAAACAAACCATATCCTGAAGGAACACGATACATAGAAGTATCCTGAAGATGTAACCTCGGGTTCCTCTGTTGCAGTTATTTCCACAATCGTCAGGAAGAACAATTAAAGCAGAGAAAGTGCTGTTATTAAATGTACAGTTGTATGGCTTATAGAATGATTTCGTAATCTCAACTATGTTTTTCAAGTACATTTTGATAGTTTCTCTGTCAAGCAATGAAGTTGTCTTTCACTTTTGAAATTGTTATGACATTACACATGCCAATGGAGGCTGAAAAGTACTAGGCGGGATCGAAATGTAACTGAGAATGGGTCAGGGTGTTCACCTCGCTATTTCCCATCGCTATCAAGCTGACTTTTAATCGTCTCTTCCTAATTTATGGCTCACAGAGAGGGAGACATTTTTGGCATCCCTAAACTTAGGTGGAGCAGTTTAACAACGTAATATAAGGTCTAAAAAAAGAAAAAAGAAAAAAAAAACAACCATTTTTACCCAATCATTCATATTACGGCCTTCTATATAGACACATTAGCATTAATCATCCTTCTTGTAAGTTAATGTTAAGCGAATAATATATTTTTATTATTATATATGAGAATCAATTACAAGTAAAATTATCCACACTGGTTACTAAGAGTTTAAAAAGTCCATGTATCAGGAAATACATTTTATTTAGAAAAGCAACGTTAATCGCCATCTTCTGTTGTCTTGAACTCCGTTTATCTTTTACCTTTTCTTCAATTCCCTATATACCCAGTCTTTTCTCTCAATTTCAGTCTCTGCATATTAGTCGTATTCCCACCTTGCTTGGGGTGAAATGTTTTTAAAAAACTATCTTAGCTGACTTTTTCCGATATTTTTTAAAAAAATAAATTTGATTCTCGACATTTTCCTCTTCTTTTCGTTGCACACATGTTCAGTCCATGGTATTCTCAGTATCCTTATGTAGGACCGCATTTCTCTCGCCTCGAATTTCTTCATCTGTGCAAAGATGATCCAGAATTCACTTCCATATAGGAAGATTTATATTACATAACTGTTCAGTTCTGTTTTCTTTGTTTCTAAGGAAATTTTTCCGTTGATTAAAGATGTTGATAGAGCAATCTCCAAAACTCTGAAATGATTTTTAAAATATTTCTTTTGAAAATCCCATTTAATAATTACTGTCTTGATGCTTTTTTATTAGTAGCATTATGACCCGTATTAGTTTTATTTCTTGAAATTGTATGCTTTTACCTGGTGTCTGATGGTTATCGCTGGAAACTGGGTTCCCTTCGAGTATCTTTAAATTCCCAGCACCTTTCTCAGTATCCATGAGGACCTCAGATACGATGCGGTTTAGAACAATGTTTCTCAACCTTTTCTTCCTTGTGGCCTATTTTTAGTGTCAAAAGAATCCCAGGCCCACATAAACACACATGGAAACTCCACGTAACAGGAGATATATTTTATTTACAAAAGCAAAATATAGTAAAAAGTATAAATTCTGACTAACGATGACACTGCTCCTTGTGTCTATCAGCTTGATAAGTTGAACTTCCAAGCCAAGGTAAAGCAGTTTCTGCTTTCATAATTTTACGCCAGTGACAAAAACAGAATGTCAAAGCCCAGCTATTTTCCTTGGGCCAACTCTAGGCTCGTTTTAAAAATTTATCAGGCCCACTTTTAGGCCTAAAGGCCCACATTGAGAATCACTGGTCTAGATTGTCTCAACTGTTCCTTAGGTTTATGATTTGGCTTTACCAACCTATCCCTCTTTCTCTTCTTGGCTCTTCTTTTCTCTATCTCTCTTCCTCTCGCTCTCCTTTTCTCTATCTCTCTTCCTCTCACTCTCCTTTTCTCTATCTCTCTTCCTCTCGCTCTCCTTTTCTCTATCTCTCTTCCTCTCACTCTCCTTTTCTCTATCTCTCTTCCTCTCACTCTCCTTTTCTCCTCTCTCATTGTTTATGATACATTGATACTTTGATTTTTTTCCATTTATAGGGTGATTGAAAAGTAACTCCTTATTTTATATATGATGGACTCTCCCGTCTAACAATATGTTTTACAAGACAGGAGAGTCCATCATACATAAAATAGGGAGTTATTTTTCCCTGTAGAATAAAAGAAAGAATACCTTTCGTTTATACAGGTTGATTGAAAGTAACTACCTATTTTATGCATGATGGGCTCTCCCATCAAATTGAAATTTTTACAAGACAGGAAAGTTCATTATACATAACTTTGAACAGGAATAGAAGTCCATACTTTGTTTCCTGTTTAGGGAGTGGTTCCTGGTTCCATTTCCTTTCCTCAGGCCTTAATAGAGGTGCGGTCATGAATTTTTTGTGATACGTGTGGATGGTAGCAAAGTCTCTTCATACAGAGGATATCGGGTTGGCAGTTTTCTGGTTGCTGTTCCCGATTGGTAGTTAGGAGTCCGAACAGGAATAAAGGCTCATACCTTGTTTCCTGTGTTAGGAGTCCGAACTCTTGCCTAGTGTCTAGAGAGACTGTTCTAATCAACCCTCGCATAATATCACGGTTCTAGAAGTGCCATGTCGCGCATGGAAGCGTGTCTATGCAAGAACCTCTAGTGAGCAACCCCGAGGCCACACTATGTTGCAATCTACACTAGTTCCCTTCCGCACATGTTACATTAGACAACCAACCGCTAATGCTACCCTAGACCTTTCTTTACCAAAAGAACACACCATGACTAAAAGCAAGCAAAGTTATAAAACTAAACCAGCTCAACAAAAAACAAAAAAACAAAACAAAAAAAAAAAAAACGCCTCAACTCCTCAACCTTTCTTTCTCCAATATTAGTGGCAACTTCTACAGTGTGGAATCGTTCCTCTTCGCAAAGTCTCTGGATATCTTAACTCTCTGTTAAAATAATCTTAACTCTTCAATCCTTTCCTCTGGTTTCGCGATTCCTGGTTATTTCCCTCTCTTTATGAAGGACTCTAATATCCATATGCATGACCTGGGAATTTATGTCCGCGAACATCTCCAGCTGGCTAGGGAAATCTCCAAACCATTCTTACATGTGTCTCCATCTCTCTCTACTAAACTCAGTCAGCTAACTTTTCTTTCTCTACCGTTACCCTTCCTCTCATGACTGTTGCGTGTTAGTATTTCTGACAATATAGACAAGGCCATCTTCCTAAATCCGTTTGCAAATATATTTGTGCTCGGTGAATTTACTGCCCATCATATCAGGCGGTTTAAACATTCTGTCAGTGACCTCGCTGGCATCCAAATCTTGAACTTTTCAATCACTTGATCTCTCAGGTAAGTGGTGGACTTCCCCCACGTGTTTCCTCAGTGATCCTGATGGACGGGATTCTCTTCTAGATCTCCTTCTTTTTACCTCTATTCCTGACTCGTGTTGTACTATGCAGCTCTGCCCTCTTGGCAGCTCTGATCATCCGGTAGTATCTGTAAACATCTCTTCCCGCTCCCCCGTCAGCCAAGAACCTCTTAACAACAGAATATCTTTCTGTTATCAACGAGCGGATTAGGACTAGTTCCGTGATTTCCTTCGTGACGTCACTTGCAAATAAGGATCTGCAATGTAATCGATTCTGGCTTGGCATCTCGGCTCCAGTCACTTTCTCACCAATATGACGTGGCTTCCCTCTGTCTTTTCTATAAATATTTTCATAGCAATTGCTCTGACGAGCTTTTTTTTTATCTTGATACCCCGACTACATAAATGTAAGCGTGCTACTAGACTGGCTTCTAGGTCCCATTCTTTTACGATTGAACTCCATCAGTTTCTTTTCTCGCACTTCCCGCCTGTAAAATTCCCTTCCGTTTATTTCCTTCCCTGATAACTACAGTCTTCAAAATTTTAAATGCAACATCATCGCAATCTTCTATCTTCTTAAATCCCTTTAATCTTTTATCCTTTTCTCACCCCCCCTCATACCCTTTCTCTTACTTTCCTCTCCTTACCCCCCCGCGTACCAGTAGCATTCCCGCCTTGCTTGGGTTTGGTTTGTTTGTTTACGTTTGTTTGTTTACGTCATATCAACCTCAATGGATTATTTAATGCCGACAAAATTTTTTATTGCTGGTAATGTTTTTCTTCAAAAATCTATTTCTGGGAATATTTTTCCTTGAAGAAATCTATAGCTGGTCATATTTTTTTCAAAGAATGTATAGCTGGTATTTTTTTAATGTATTGCTGATAATAATTTTTCCTTAAAAAATAATTGCTGATTATAATTTTTTTTATTACAAAGTATTTCTGGTATTAAAACCTATTTTTACACAAGTTTGGGACCCTAACAGGTACTAAAACCCCGGGTCAGGGTGGACCTGGGAACACCAGCAATTAAGAGGTGGTTCCACACTCCTCAAATCTCTTGATCAGAGGCCTTGCTGTTGGACGTAGTTTATCGTCTTACCCAGGATACTGATGTAGTTTATCCTCATACCCAGGACGGCACTTTGCTTGGGGTGAAATGATTTTAAAAAAAAATATTTTTCTTAGCTGTTTTTTTCCCGTTACTTTTTAAATAGACATTTTTCGCTGCATTTCGTTGCCCACAAGTTCACTCCATGGTAATCTCAGTATCCTTCTGTAGGACCAGATTTTTCCCCTCAAGTTTCTTCTTCACCTGTGCAGAATTGATCCAGCATTTACTGCCATATAGGAGGATTGATATTATATAACTTTTCAGTATTCTTTGTTTCTAACGAAATTTTCCTGTTTCTTAAAGATCTAATGTTAGAAGAACAATCAAAAACGAATTCAGTCATTTCAGTTAATTTGGTGTAAAAGAATTTTAGTTATTGCAATTAGTTCGTCAAATAATTTCTCTCGCTGCAACGAGTTCTCTATTAAAGAAATTCGGCTTTTGCTGTTTATACTTTGTAAAGTAATTTCTGTCACTGGAACTGCAGTTATTTTAATGCAAAAGAAATGTGCGTATTGTTTTTGTTAGCTTGCTAAAGAGAATGAAAGATAATATTATTCCAACTTCTAGAGAAGGTGGAAAAAAGGAGAAAAAAGTTTTTACTCTTGCGCTAATGACTTCGTGAAGTGGTTTACATTTGATCCTTTCTCTTGGGAGAATATACAATTAACGCGTAATATAAAAACTGGTTGCTTCTGGAAAAGATCTGATTTTCGATGTACTGAACTTGACCTCTTCTTTCAAAATCGACCATCTATTTTAGAGCCGGTTGACTTGTTTTCTAAACAATTTTTTCTTAAAAAAGTTCCGAAAAAAACCCCAAAGTTTAGGATTAGATTTCGTTAAAAAAGTTCCGATGGGTAAAACATGTCGCCATTTTATATTTTTAATTTCGTGCATGCGCGTTGATTTTTTTTTGATTTTGTCAACTTCACAGTATAATCGGGTCTGTTGGGCACCGCCTGTAAGAAAAAGAGCACCATGATGCAATTGACTCCGCCAGACGTTGGGAAACGGTATGTTGTACTACTTGGCATTCGCTCCGGAAGCTCCAATACAAACATATCAGAATGTTTGGGTGTCAATTTGAGGAGCGTGCTGAGGATTCGGAAAGAGTTGGATGAGTCTAATGGTGATTACGAAGGTACATCAGCTCGGAAAGCACACTCTGATCATTTTGATAAGAAAAGAAATCCCGAATTTGTTAGTGAAGGCTCAAAACTGAGGCCTACATCAAGTGCCTTGAAGAGGTAGTACTGCCCTGGGCCAAAAAGGTGGCTGCTGGAAAACTCTGTCTTGTAACAGGAATCTGCACCATACCACACAAGCAGGCGAACCCCGTGATGGCTATCAGACAATTTCTGACAACCACCGCCTCTTACATCTGATCACGTAACTCACCAGTCTGCAACACCCTTGATTATTATCTGTGGGGCGCAGTTGAGCAAGAGACCAACAAAAGAAGAAAACATTTAAAGATCCATTTTGGTTATAATTCTTTTTTTTTGTAAAGAACTTTTTGTCTGAATATGCAGAAATATTCCCCAAATTATAACCAAAATGGATCCTTAAGTTTTACTTCTTGACTTATTTATATATATATATATATATTGCAGGAGAGACTGGGTTCTATAGCCATGAATGGCAACGGGTCTAAGAGAAAAACCACTCTGAAGTCGAAAGCTGCGGAGCGTCGTTTGGGGTCCTTGTGGGACGTAGTGGACCAGTTCCCTGTATTCGGCCATTCAAAAAGTGAGATTGTTTCTGCACAAAACCTTCACCACTATAATCATTTCATATGTGCTGCTGTCGGGGCTGTCGCTTCCTAGGGACTGGACTGTTTGACCATCATACGTCGAATCCACCGTATATTAATCATATACATACATACATATATATATATATATATATATATATATATATATATATATATATATATATATATATATATATATATATATATATATATATATATATAGATCGTGTATTGGGCTAGCAGATCTTTATTCATACGTATATTGTAAAATATAACAGACAACGAATGTCTATTATGTTTGATCATGAGCCGTTCTAAGCTTCGTATAGTTGTTTTAGTTTCGGGAGAAAATAAAGACAAAAACTGTCCAACATTTGAATATATTTTTTATTATGCTGTCCCACGATCTAAGCTTTCTGTACACATGAGCCATCATCAGAATAGTTATATGAACATTACGACAGAGTCCTGTTATGTTTACATAAAAGTTTGCTATGAGACGATAACGGTTGCGTAATAGCAGGCGCAGGTCGCGAATGTACTATTTATCTGCAATACTTACACATACACACAATATAAAGAACCTTATAATATTGGAGGCCATATACATTAAAACAAAGTAACTCACATTCAACAAAATTACATTTCAAACCAATGACATCATATTACATTGCATCTAAACACATGATTCTGTTGATAATATTTCTTTCTCTCATGTGATCATGTATGACGTTATAGAAGCGCATTACGAATTGTATAAACACTATTGATTATATTTACCGGTCTGAATGCCCGAGAAATATCCGTGTAGGATTACAGGTTCGATTCCTGTCGGAAGACACATATTTTCAACAAAATTTCTCGGACATTCAGGCCGTCAAATGTAATTAATACTGTTTATTATAGACAGAGCATATACTTCAATAATTGTATCCATAAACATAACTTCATCAGGCGATTGTAAATTACTGGCGAGTGATCGATGTATTTAGATTTAAAAGCGAAATACAACCTCTATTACGGAATAAAAAAGGTGAGGCATAAGGTTTGTAGGCTTTAGTCTGATCAAACAATCAAATATGTCCTACGTTAAATTTAAACTAAGCGAAGAAGCAAAAATTAAGGAATTATTTTCTATAAATGGGTCATGATTCGTAGATTGGCAGTCAATGGCAGCACAGACGTTAAACAGGAACGGGTGTTAATGCTTTGTGAATAATTTTTTTATAGCTGATAAATAAATATAGTATATAGAGATGATAATCTTATGATAGTCTTATGGTAGTACAAATTCGAAAAAGAAGGCTGTCTTACCTGGACACACATACACATACATTATACTGAAGATATGTCAAAAATCGCTCCACAATTGCAGTCGTGTTTCAATGCATTGAAATAAGGCGACTGTAAATTACTGGCGAGTAAACGATTTATTTACCTGGTTATATATATATATATATATACACACACACACACACACCACACCACACCACACCACAAATTTCAGATTGAGAATATATGTAAATGTATATTATGAATAAAGACATGAGGAAAACATATCTTAGCCGACGCGCTTCATTCTCTGAGGGACTTTATCAAGCCAACTGATTTATAATATTCAATAAAGTCTCCCATAGGACGAAACGCGCCGTCTAAAATAAGTTTTCTTTTTGTCTTTATATATATATTCTTATCCTCAGATAGACTGTTTCGTAGCTCATCAGTACGGTTAGGCATCCGATTGCCTCAAGCCGGGATCGAAACCAGACTGGTTTGGTAGCAGCTGGAGATTCTACCCCTAAACCATTGGCGCACGGATGAGCTGAAGGTGAATTTTAGACGTATTTATTTTTTTAAATAAACACCCAAGTGACTGGAGAACTCGATTCGTCTTAACGAAGAGTCTTGCATCAGCAGCAGTAATAGTCACCGTTTACAAATTCCCTTTTCTCCCGAAATGCTGAACCAAAATAATTTTTATGGAGTATATATATATATATATATATATATATATATATATATATATATATATATATATATATGCTTAACTGAAAGTTGCCTCTTATCTGATTTTGATTTTTTTTTAACTATTCTGTTAAACATAAATGTCCTTGTTTAGACTCTTCTTACTTAGGGTTTCGGATGAAAAATCATTGGATACTGAAGCACCATGATTAGAGAAGTATCCTTTGTTCCACCATTTCTAACCTTCACGGCTAAGACCCGCTTTGCTACGCGCATTGTAGTGAACCGTCTTTATTCCCTCCCTATTCCATTGGTGAAACCTAAGTTCCACTCGAGCAGCTTCTTCCTGCGAACAACTGCCCTGTGGAAGCGACTCCCAAGAGGATGTTTGACAGATCACTACAGTCTTAACCTATTCAACTCTAGGGTTAACACTTATCTTCCCCACATATCCCCATAAACTGTGCCTCTTTGTAACCCTCTACCTCGAGTGGCTGTCGGGCCTTGTGCAAGATGGGCCTCACTCTAAAAAAGCCTCTCGTGTGTTCAAAACACGTATGTCGAATGATCGTAAATACGATTGTGCTCTATTTTTTTTAAAAATCACGTTTCTAGCCAAATTGTCAAACTAAGGTCGCAAAATCTGCCATATCTATTTTGTACTTGTGCAAAAAGAAAGGTCTTTAATTGGAAGATTAGAGGTTCTGAGAGGCGGTTAACCAACTAATAATTACTGTTGCAGCCAGGTACACTCCATTCCAGGGTGTTAGGGACACAGCTATCGACACATCGTGAACCCCAAACAAAACACCATGACAGTATAAAATAGGTTTATATAGTAAAAATACCAGCAATACATTTTTATTAAAAAATTACCAACAGTATGCACGTACTAACAAATTTTAGCGACCCAAATCCGTTTAAAATACTACCAAATGACCAACATTGTCTTTCATGACATTTCTTAAATTTGTATTCCAAAATATAACTTCAACAGAACTACAACATAAAACACACATCACCGCCACTAGTAATTATGTCGACGCAAGCACAAAAGCTGAGTATTATCTACCATATATCCAATTGTGAAAGCAGAATAACATATATTTTTTATCATTTACAAGCTCCCAAGAAAATTAAATTTCGGCATTAAATGACCCATAAGGTGTTGGTATGCCGTAAAATAGACAAATTAAGCAATTAATATTTGTGCAACCAAATATTGACCTTCTTGAGGGAAGAGGCGCATTAACAAGAAACCTCTTAACATTCTTAAAAATTATTTTTTAAACATTTAAAAAGTTTGTTTTTTTTCAGTGGTAGTTTTCCATTTTCTGTACAATTACACAAACCGACATCTGTGGGAAACCAGCTGGTCTCATTAAAATCTAATTAGAAAAAAATAAAAAATGAAAATAAAGGTCACCATTTGTTCCGAATGTATCACTTTTCAATGTTTTCATTTTTGGTTGTTTTGCCCGATGAACTAAAATCCATCTTCCTGTTTCCTCTGCTGTTACTTTGAGGTGAACGAGATTAAAATGAAATAAAAATGCTTAGATTATGTAACTGCTTTAAAAGCGTTTCGCATCTTGCTCCTACTCCATGAGCAAATATTTACGTCAATTTTGCTACGTATATTGCGTTGCGAAAGTATTCACACCGTATGAAAAATATACATTTATTTTCGAAGTTACAATTTTAATTAAATAAGATGAAAAGTTATCCAGTGACTTGATCCAAAGCGTTGTGAGTTCAATACCTGTCCACAGCACAGTTGAACGAGAGAAGAGTTACTGTTATGTACCGTACCTATGAACACTAATGTGTATGTTCCAATCCTCATAAATACGTTGGACACTATTGTAAGTGTGTCTGTGTGTGTGGGGGGGGGACAATATGCTGTCTAAGGTGTGTTTTTCGTATTTGTTGTTGTGTCTGAATGAGTGATTGGATGAATGAATGTTTTATATTATTAAAATCCTGCATTGATTTCGTCCAGTTAACTGATGTTTCTGTCACATTTATACACTGCGGGGTTATTTATTACTAACATTATTTTCTTTAGTTTCTTGTATATAGTTTTGTACATCTTTGTAAATAATCATTTAGGGCAAATTTTTAAATTTGTTGTTTTATTCCTCTTCCCCCACAGACAAGTATTTGTACATATGGGGTTCGAGTTAGGACTTTCATAGAGACAATGAGACATTGTGGTGAATGTAGTAAGAAAGGTAAGTAAGAATGTGTTGTTTTGGTGTAAGGAATACTGTTGTCTGTTTGGGTCAGTGTTTGTGGCTAGCTAAGTTTAAAGTTAAGACAGATGAAAACCGTCCCTTTTACCCATTCCCCCTTTTGGCCTTGTGCCACATTTTGTATTTATACAAATAAATAACGTAATAACCTGTCTAAGTAGTCCACCATTAGCAGTGGTTTACCTACTTCACGCCGCTGGCGAGTATTGCCTTTTGGTGATGTTATAAAGATTACAATTTCATTTCCAACCTCCGTTTTGGTTATTCCTCATTCAGTAACCCTTTCTAGATTACAACACTATCTATCTATCTATCTATCTATCTATCTATCTATCTATCTATCTATCTATCTATCTGTTATATACTGTACCCATAAACACTAATGTGTATGTCCCAATCCTCATAAATACATTGGCAACTATTGTAAGTGGGGGTAATAGGCTGTATAAGTAGTCCGCCACTAGCAGTGGTTTACCTACTTTACGCCGCTGGCGAGTATTGTATTTTGTTAGTGTAATAAAGATTACAATTTCATTTCCAACCCCCTTTTTGCTTATTCCTCATTCAGTAACCCATTCTAGGTTACAACAATTACTAAAAGGGGAATAACTGAAATTGAGATATCCTGAAAGGGCATGGCACGTGGAACGAGAACAATCTAACTCAGTGGACGAAATAAAGTGTTCGGTTTGAAATTCCAATCACATGCAGAAGACCGGAGCGGACAACAATGTAAATAAAATACTTTCAAAAGTATCCACACTGCATGAAAAATATCCTTTTATTGTCAAAATTACGGTTTTAATTAAATAACATCTTTTTGGCAGGGGCTCCCCAGGAGCTAACCTTTGACCTGCGTTGTTCCTAACTGTCATCAATGACCTTCCTGATGTCATCAGTTCTCAGTTTGGTATCTATGCTGATGAGACAGCTATTTACTCCTATTTTAATAATTAGCTTGATCGGTTCGATAAGTTTGAATAGGCGACTGATCTAAAAAAATGACCTGCATTCTGTTGTAAAATGGGTGAAGAAATAACTTTTAATAAATTTTTACAGCTCCAAAACAAAACTACTTCCTTTTAACCCTAGTACACTAACCATGGGTATATAGTACCCAGCGCAAATTTTCCTATTTTTAATTACAATTTTCAGTACCTGATTTTCTTATTTAAATAATGTTTTTCAGTTCCTATTAATGTTCACTCAAAGTACAAAGTTTGAAGTGCCAGCATGTAAAATATTTCAAATAAAGATTTATATTTAATATTTTTTTTGATATTTTCAAAATCGGGTATGATATACCCATGGTTAGTAGTGGTGTAACTTTATTTGATGGTTAGTGTTCTAGGGTTAATGATCTGAGAGAGCCATTTTTGGCCTTTCATTATCATGGCTGATCCTAACCTCTAGGAGAGTGACTCATTGCTCCTTCTCAGGTTAGTGTTTTCTGCTGAAATGGAGTAAAAAGATAATATTGAATCTATTGATAAGTCTAAGAAAATTGGTTCACAATGTCGTGTTCGATAATTTTCGCTCCGGTTTCTGTTTTACATATCTATAAGCCTGCCATTCGTCCATGTTTTAAATGTTGCTGCTTCATCTGGACTGGTGTGCCTGCTATGTATTTGGAGATTCTAGATAAAATCCAAAGAAGAATCTGCAATATTATTGGTGCCGATCTGGCATTTTGACTACTTCAGTCCTCTTCCAAATTGAAATGGCGTTTCCCAGCTTTCGACTTCTTGGTTTCCAGCCAACTTTGATCTTCAAAGATTTAAATGCCGTGTTATCTTCTGTCTTCTAAATTCTTGTTCTTTTATTGCTCCAGATCCTTAATAGTGTTTTTCCTCGTATTCTCTCGCGTTCAGTAACCCCCTTGCGTCTTAGTTGCTTTATTACCTTGTTTGGGGTGAAATGATTAAAAAGGAAATCAGAGAACTCTGTTCCAATTCCAGTTGGGTTCGTTATATTCACTTACGGGCAAATAACCTTGGGAAAGTCATGAATTCACCTCTTCTTCCCCCATCTATGGGTTAATTAGTAGGACTTGTATCGGTAGATCATTATTATGGGAAAAAAGTTTCTTACAACTTAGAAATATTTTCTAGCTTAAAATAAGCTGCAAAGGGTTGATGAGCCGTACAAACCAAATCAACCAATCGGCATAGAACAAATCTCTTTAAAAATGAAACATGGACAGTTCATACTGGTTGCTTTCACTTTTGTCGACTGCCCCCCCGCCGTTCTAAGCTTAGTCAATGTGAAACACTCAAACAAGAATGTTTTTTATTCTTTCTGATATTACACCATGGTGCAGGATTTGCGAAGGCCGTGTCGTGAGTTCGAATCTTGCTAAGCGCATCACTTTGGCTTTAGTCCCTTTTTGTTTACCTAGTGCTTCAATGTCCAAGCACATAATTAGTTTTGGGTTTTATAACATTATAGCTCTTTTCGCACCTTAAAGCTTAAAAGTGTGCCAGACACTTTTGAAATTTTCAGTGAAAATGAAGTATTAACTGTAATAATTGTATTTATGTCTAAGATGAGATATTGAATTATTTACATTATTCGCATTGTTGTCCTCATCTTTGTTGTAATATTCACGACGTTTCAGCCGTTGTTCGCTCCAGCCTTCTTCAGGTGATTGGAATTTCGAACTGAACCCTTTAGTTCGTCCACTAGGGTAGATTTTTCTAGCTCTGTGTGCCTTGCTTCTTCCGGATATCTCAGTTTCTTGGTATACATGGCCCGGTGGATAAAGGCGTTGGTTTAAGCAATCCAGTGACTTGACTCAAAGATTTGTCAGTTCTTCAACATCTGGCCAAAATAGAGGGGAACAAAAACTTGAGGAGTTGAGTTACTGAAGGGCAATAACTGAAATTGAAAGAGAGATATCCCAAAGAGGCATGGTACGCGGAACTAGAATAATCTAACAGGGTGGACAAAATAAAGGGTTCGGTTCGGAATTCAAATTCATTAAAGAAGCCCGGGGCGTACAACCGCCGAAACGCCGTGACTATGACAACAAAGACGAGGACAACAGTCCGAACAATGTAAATAGTGTAAAAACGTGCATCACGTTTTTAGCTTAGTGTTGTTTTAAATAGACCCTATTAGAAGTTAATACTTCATTTTAACGGAAAAGTTCAAAAGTGCCTGGCGCACTTTTAAGCTTTAAAACCCAAAACTAATTGTTTGCTTGGACACTCGAGCATCGGCTAAACAAAATCACATCTCATGTTGCATAAACATGTACCTATGTGAATATATAAATGTGGTACGGTATCACAAAATGATAAGGTACCACGTATATATATATATATATATATATATATATATATATATATATATATATATATATATAGATAGATAGATAGATAGATAGATAGATAATATTAGTGGTAAATATACACATACATATGCAAAATATATAAATATATATACATACATATACAAATATATCTGTATAAAAAAAAATTCCAAGAGGATAGAACCCAGATAGAACTCAATGTCCAGGACAGAGTAAGGATATAATAAAAAGGCTTAAACACTAATATTCCATGGTCATAATTTATTCCATTGGAATCGTAAATACGATCCAATTCATCAGTCCTACAAATTCAAAAAAAATAAATAAAATAAATAAATAAATTAAAAATTAAACGTTATTTGAAATGCATACCCATATTTAAGTAGATGCTCTGTTATTTATTTATTAAACTGTATATTTATTTATTTACATCTACCGGCCTGAATATTCGAGAAATCTTGTTAGAAAAATGTGCCCTCCGGAAGGATTCGAACCTGCGTCTGACTTGCCTTAGACTAACTCGGTCACATAGGACCTTCTGATCAAACCAACCCCGAATAATGCCTATGAACACGTCTTCCCGATTCTTGAAATATACATATCTGCTCTGTTTCGTATCCTAACGTATGCAAAGACAATTTTTTAGGAAATGGATTAAATCCGACATATTTTTAATTTATTTGTTTTAATGTTATTTTAAATGGATCTAGATATATATATATATATATATATATATATATATATATATATATACACAGTAGCGTCCAAAACTAAGGGACAAAATTTTAAAACCTAATATTTGTTAGAAATAACAACTGTGAAAAGCTGAAATTTTGACAACTGGTCGTCGTTATCATCCATAATAACATACTAAAATTTGAATCATTTGCAAAGGATAGAAAAAGAATTATAACAATTATTTATTTATTTTCAAAATAGGATCGTCCAAAAGTAAGGGAGTCAATTGAGAAAAACAATGTAAACAGTATGCTATATTCAAATTTTTTGATTTCCTCTAAAGAATAAGTCTTACTTCGTCATTAGTAAACGTTGCATCAGCCGACACCATGGCGAAACGCCAAAAAGTTGATTACTCTGTGAGACAAGCTATTGTGAAGCTACACAAGGAAAAGCACACCATTAGAGAGATTTCAGAGAAAGTGAAACGTTCCAAGAGTGTTGTAGGCAGGGTTGTTAAATCCTACAATGATACTGGCAAAATAGTTAGTGCTTTTAAAACCGGCAGACCCCGCAAAACTTCGACAAGAGAAGATCGAATAATGCAGCGTATGTCATTAAAGGACCGTTTTAAGTCTTGCACAGAAATTAAAAGGGTTATGAATAGTACCTCATGTGTTAATGTGTCAAGACAGACTGTTTGTAGACGACTGCAAGAAATAGGGCTGTTTAATCGAACCCCAGGGAAGAAACCACTTGTTAGTTCGAAGAATAATAAGAGATTAGAGTTTGCAAACAGGTATGTAATTTGGACATATGAAAATTGGGCAAAAGTATTTTTCAGTGATGAAAGCAAGTTTAATTTATTTGGAAATGATGGAAAAAACAATGTAAAGAGACGTATTGGTGAAAGATTAAGTGCAAAGTGTACTAAGAAAACTGTCAAGTTTGGGGGCGGAAGCGTCATGGTAATTGGAATGTTTTCTAGCCAAGGTACAACGCCTCTTGTCCGGTTACAAACTCGTGTAAACGCGCAGATCTATAAAAACATTGTTCAAGATCATGTTGTGCCAATCATACAGAATTCAGGTTTCGATAGGGCTACCTTTATGCAAGATAATGCCCCATGTCACAAGGCAAAAGTGGTAATGAGTTACCTTAGCGATCAAGATTTGGAAATTATGGATTGGCCACCGCAAAGTCCTGACTTAAATCCAATAGAAAATCTTTGGAAGACCTTAGGAGTGAAAGTTATGGAAAGAAATCCCACTAACACAGAGGATTTGTGGGTGAAGCTTCAAGAAGAATGGTCTAAAATTATTATCGAGGATTGTCAAGAACTGATTCGTTCTTGTAGTCGAAGATGTGCAGCTGT